TCTGACCTGACCTCATTTTCCACTATCCTCTGTCCCTCCCTCTCTTCCGGTTCCAGCCACACTGATCTCATTTCCAGACACGCTGCCCCTCAGGACCTTTGCACTGGCTGTTCCATCTGCCCAGAATGCTCTTCCCCCAGATATCTGCTTGGCTCTCTCCCTGCCTCCTTCAAGTTTTTCTTCAAATGTCTCTCAGTAAGGCCTCCCCTGAGCTCTCTATTTAAAACTGCAATCCACTCTTTCCTGATCTTCCTTGCTGTTTTTTAAAAAGTAGTTTTAATTTCCTACATATGAAAAAATTTACTGAACATAAGCTCCATGAAGGCAAAGTTTTTTTCAGTTTTGTTTATGCTGTATCCCCAGTGCCTAGAAAAGTACCCAGCTAACAAATAAGCACGCAATACGTGTTGATGTGAATAAAGGAATTCCCCTCCCTAGTGGACCTCACAGTCTGGTGCCAAAGCAAACACAGACCATCACAGGGCAGTAACTAGTGCTCCATGAAATGGCAGAGGAGGGTGCAGGGGCATGAAAGGAGAGAAAACCCCACCAGGAAGCAGAGGCTTGAAAAACAAGGCATATGCCAGATTCAGAGGGGATGAGAGGGGCACTCCTAGCAGAGCAAATAGCATGAGCAAAGCCTTAGAAATGAAAAGCAGTGGCGTGTATTTGGAGGCGATTATAGGCAGTTCCAAGGGTAGCTGTGCAGGGTGGAAGTGTCAAGAGTGTGGGCTCGGTTCTGCTGGTAATGAGAACTGGAGGGTTCTAACCCAGGGCAGCACTGTGAACAGATTGGGGTTTCTGAGGCTGCCCATATGCTGGGCGGAGAACGGATTGGGGGTGGGCAACAGTGAAGCAGGGAAGGCCACAGGGAGGCACCCAGACAACAGCGGGGCCCTAGAGAAAGGGGCGGAGGGTAGGATTATTTAGGATAACCCAGGATAGCATGTGGGGTTTTGACTCTGACTTCTGGGTGCTGCCGTCTTAGCCAATTTCTAGTATGGTGGAGCCATTTCTCGGCACAGGATGGTGGAAACAGGTTGGGAGGAGGATGAGGCTGAGGTTCTATGGGACATCCCAGCAGAGAGGTCTTGAAGGCATTTGCTCTTTGAGTCTGGAAGTAGGAGGCAGAGACGTGGGAACCACTGATTCCAGGAGTAGGTGGGACACAGCAAGAAGAGTTCCAAGAAAAAAAGAGCTAGGCCAGGGCAAGAGATATTTAAGGGATCAGGAAGAGGAGAGAGTGGCAGAGGGGAAGAGTAGCACTGGGCCAGGACACCAGAGCCAGGGGTAGAACAATGTCAAAAAGGAAAAGTATGAACATTGGGAGGAGGCAGGGAGGCATGGTAAGATGATGATCAAGGAGTCTGGCTATAGAAAAGGTAGCTTTTAAATCTGGTCACAAGTAGAGGAGTGGGGGTTGGGTAGGCCAGGGCTAAGAAACATAAATGCGTGGGACTGGAGCGACTCAAGCATTAGCCTTTCAAGACTGCTCAGCAATGGACTTCTTCCCATTCTTACTGACAGGCAAGCCTCTGGGCCTCTATCCCTACACCCTAGTAGTCTCATCTGTAAAATGGCTTAATAGGAAAAACAGCTGCCATTTATTGAGCACACACTATGTGCAAAGCCAAGTATTCTCTCTCCATGTATTGCCTCATTTAATCCTTACAATGGTCTCATCGGGTGGATGCTACTATTGTTCTCATTTTACAGATGAGGAAACTGAGGCACAGAGATGTTGTTCAAGGTAACATAGTGAATGACTGGAGATGCTAATATTCAAACCCAAAGCCTGAATCCTGGGCCATAATACTGTACTACTAACCCATACAAGATGCTTTACAGTTTGCAGAGCACTCTTCTCACCTCATGGGCTGGTTGAGGGGAAAAAATGAGATGATCCACACACCTAAAAAAATGACTGAGATTATTACCACAAGTAGTGAGGCTGAGTAATGGCCCTCCAAAGGTGTCCACACCCTAATCCCAGAACCTGCGACGATGTTACGTTATTGGGCAAGTGAGATTTTGCAGATGTGATTAAATTAAGGACCTTGAGGTGGGAAGAGTATCCTGGACCATTCAAGTGGGCCCACCGTAATCACAAGGGTCTTTATACAATAAAAGGGAGGCAGGAGACACAGAGGAGACGCGATGATGGAAGCAGAGAACAAGAGAGTTAGAAAGATGCTATGCTATTAGGTTTGAAGATGGGGGGGAGGAGCCACAAGCCAAAAAATGCAGGTGGCATGCAGAAACTGGAAAAGACAAGGAAACAGATTATCCCCTACAAGCTCCTGGAAGGAGCCAGCCCTGCAGACACCTTGACATGTAGCCATTAAGACTAATTTTGGTGCTTTTGACCTCCAGAGAGTAAGATAATATATTTGTGTTGCTTTAAGCCACTTTGTGCTAATTTGTTACAGCAGCAACAGAAAATGAATATACCACATCATTGCATACCGGACTCCCCAGCCAGCCCTGGCTCAAATACTACTACTGCAGCTACTGTAGTGAAATGCCCTTACATTTTTTTAATAGTTCTTTAAAGCTCCAATTTGGTCCTCTCTAAACCTTAGTCTCTTTCTTTATTAAAAATAAAAATAGGACCCTTGGCTGGTGTGGCTCAGTGGACTTAACACAGCAGGCCTGCGAACCAAATCGTGGGTTTGATTCCCAGTCAGGGCACATGCCTGAGTTGTGGGCTGGGGCCCCAGCAGGGAACATGTGAGAGGCAACCACACATTGATGTTTCTCTCCCTCTCTCCCTCCCTTCTTCTGTCTAAAAGTAAATAAAATCTTAAGAAATAAATGAAAATAGGGCCCTAGATGGTGTGCTCAGTGGATTGAGCGCCAGCCTGTGAATCGAAGGGTCACCGGTTCAATTCCCAGGATAAGGCACATGCCTGAGGTGCAAGCCAAGTCCCCAGCAGGGGGTGTGCGAGATGCAACCACACAGTGATGTTTCTCTCTCTCCCTTCTCCTCTCTAAAAATAAGTAAAATTAAAAAATCTTTAAAAAAAAAAAAGAGGGATAATACACCTGTCCCTGACTCTCTTGCAGACACAGAGTGAATGAGAGCGTTTTGTATTATTTGAAGGTTCCCATAAAACGGTGGTATAGATGAGGCCTAGTTATTTTCCCCATTGCTCAGATGAACAAACTAAGACTCAGAGAAGGAAAATGGTCCATGCAGAGCCACAGTTAGTGAGTAACAGAGCCAAGACTTGCAACAGAACTTCTGACTTCAAATCTACCACACTGGCCCTGGATCATAGGAATGAGTGCCAGTTTGCGAACCGAAAGGTCACCGGTTTGATTCCCAGTCAGGGCACATACCTGGGTTGCAGGCTAGGTCCTGGTTGGGAGCGTGCAAGAGGCAACTGATTAATGTTTCTTTTCCTCTCTTTCTCCCTCCCTTCCCCTCTCTCTAAAGATAAATAAAATCTTAAACAAACAAACAAACAAACAGAAAACACACTGAGGTTCTTCTCTCAGAGTTCATCTCATGTGCCAGCTCCTCTGAGAAGGCTTCCTGGATAGCCCCAGCCCATTCATTTATTCATTCATTCACCAAACAGTTGCTGTGACTGCTGTATGCCTAGTGCCTAAGTAACACTGGAGACCAAGTCTTGCCCTCAGGCGCCCACAGGAAGTGAACAAGACAAGACACACAAACCAACCATCCCAAACAGCCTGATAAAAATGCTGAGATAAAGAGAACGAAGCACAGAGGGCTGTAGGAGACCAGAAGAGTGGGAACTGACTATACCTGGCATAAAGGAAGGCTTCCTGGAGGAGGTAGTGATCAGACTGGGAAGAAGTAAGACTCAACTGGAAGTGCGGGAAGGGGTTCCAGTGGAAGAATGACTAAGCAGAGGCAAAGAGGCCCTATATTGTAGCTTCCTGAGAGTAGCAAAGGGATTGAGTTGTCCCAGGCCCCAAAGGGCCTCCATGTTCCTATGTACAAGCAGAAGCTGCCCAGAGCTTTGGTCTAATTGTTGAGCCCAGGTCCCTGGATTCCCAGAGCGGGGCTGAAGGTCAGGAAGAGTCAAAGATATAGGATACAGGACAAGGAGAAAGAGTATTGGGGAGTCAGGGTCCTGGCTCAAGCCCCCATTCTATACCTGACTCGTGGTGTGACTATAGGAAGATCCTCTTAGAGCTTCAGTGACACCATCTGAGAAATGGAGCCTGAGACAAAACTGTCTCCAAAGACCCTCCCCAGCCCCTGACGGGGAAATGACATGACACAAAATTACAAAAGGGTCTTTATTTGTAAAAAGTCAAAGGGGCCCCTGGGGCTACAAGAAAGGCAGACCAGCTTCTCAGGGGTCGGGGGCATTTGGGCAGATGCGCTTGAGTGGGGGGGCGCCCTCCAAGTCCTCTGTGTCACCCTGGGCTGCCTCGGGGACAGGTGGCACTGGCTCAAAGACAGGGTAAGCTTCAGGGGCCTGGAGAGGAAGGGTGGACAGGCATGAGCTCCACCCAAACCCAGGAGGGCAGCCGCCCAGCCTCTGCCTTCTCCAAAGCCTCCACTCCCCTCCCCGACGCAGGAGTCTAGCCTAGAGCCAGGAACCCAGGATGCAGATTAAGTGGGGCACCAGAAACAATATTGTTTTGGGGAAGGAAGTTGATATTTGACATTTCTGGAAAATGCATCACGGTATTTCTTGTGGGAAAAATCAGAAGTTTGTAGGGGACTTTCTTAAGCTAATTGTATAGTTTGGGATTAAAAAAACAAACAAACAAACTTGGAGGAGCACCATGATCTTTTGGGCTTTTAATGGTCTTAAATCAGCCCTGATCCAGCCCGAAGGACTTTGTTTCTAAAACACCCTTTCCTTTTTAGTCCCAAGAACCCAGCTCTAAGTTTTAGCTGTGTCTGAGGTCTGCATTTCCCACCTGGACCTCAAGAGTGCATCCCCCAAGCCTTTGGCTGCCCCACAGCCCCATTCCCTCCAGACCCGGGAGTCCAGCCTTCTGGCCTCTCTCACCTCAGCCTCCAGCAATTCTGGAACAGGCTCCTCCTTGGTCAGCATTGGGGGTTCATCGGTGCTGCCTGCAGTTATACCCCCAGGATCTGGAACGTCAAGGTAACAGACATTCCCTGAGCAGCTGCTCCGTGCCATAGCACAGATCAGGGGGAAACAAACGCCAGTCATGTAAGCCCCCGGGCCATGGGAGCATTGAGGAGGGAGGTGAGCCCCTGGCTGCAACCCAGGAAAACGACACGGGAAGGACATTTAGGTGGTATCTTGACGGGTGAGTAGGATTTGATCAGGTAGACAGATGGGGAAGTGGAGTACATTTTAGGCAGATGGAAAATATACTTAGGGAACACAGAATATGGGTCCCTGGGTTCAAATCCTAACCTTGGGCAAAGGACTTAATTTCTCTGGGCCTCAGTTTCCCTATCTGTAAAATGTGGATAATTATAGTAATTACAACATAAGACTGTTGAGAGGATTAAATGAGGTAATACAGGTAAAGCCATGAGCACAGTAGCTGGCACATAGTTAAGTGCTAGATAAATGCCAGTTACTGTTTTTATATTAGTAAAAGTACAGAAGTACATGGCACAATCTAGACATAGCCATAGGCCCAAATCAGGGTGTTTCTGAAGGGTACAATGAGGTCAGCAGGGGATAGTTCACAGAGAGCCCAGAGTGCCAAGCTGTGGCGTCAAAGGCCATAGGGAGCCACTGACGGCTTTGAACAGGAAAATGACCCCGAACTTGTGCTTTAGAAAGAGTTGCTCCATCAGCTATGTGGAGGTGACTCGGGGAACAGAGACCTACAAGGAGGCTAGAGCCAGGTGAAGGTGAGAGATGACAGAGCCTGAGGAGGGAAAGGAAGGTAGGAATGTTGGGAGGTGGTACTGACCAAATAGAGGATTGACTACATGGAAGAAAGCGAAGTTAAAGAAGACTCGTCCCCAAGATGCTGGCTCACTGGCTGTGTGAGCTGGGGCAACTTAACTGCTGTGGGTTTCAGTTTCTCATCTATAAATGGTGATAACAACCCTAACAGGATTGTAGTGGGGATTAAATGAAATAAAACAAAACGTAAAATGCTTAGAAGAGTGCCAGGCACACAGTAAGAGCTCAGTAAGTATTAGCTGTTATTATCACTTATTATTACTGACTCTTAGAATTATCAGTTATTTCTTAGCAAATGTTTACTGTGCTCCTACTATGTGCCACATGGTGTTCTAAAAATACAGTAGCAAATAAGATCGACATGGATCCAACATTCAGGAAGCTGACAGAAGGTGGGAGTAGAGGGAAAAGATGCTCAGGTAGTAAAAGTTAAATTTACATGAAAATCCCAGACAGTGGTAAGTTATCAACAGACCAGAAGAAGTCAAGAGGAAGGAGACGGTCACTCGAAGTAGGGCAGTGACCTTGCACAGGAGCCAGGAAGGCCTCCTGAGGAGGCAACACAGGAGTAGAAACAGGTAGGGGGATGAGCCGGTAGCTTCAGCTTTGGGGAGGACAAAACTCAGAGGGGAGGGCTCCTGGGAGGCACCTGGTCCTACCTCTCTCCTGGCCTAGCCGTGGAGGCTGAGCTTCCTCCGGGACCCCTTCCGGTGGTCCAGAAGGTGACGTAGGGCGGCTGGGCTGGGGGGTACCACCAGGGCTGGGCTCAGTGCCCTTTTGCAGGGAGCCTTCCGAATGGAAACTCTGGTTACTGTTTTCATCTGTGAGAGCAAAAGTTGAGAGGGTTGGGCCTGAGGTCCCCAGTCCTCCTTCAACCCCATAACACCCCACCCACTGAAATCCCAGGATCCCTACATACCATTGAGATCAAGCAGGATGAGAGGACCACCCCCTCGGGGGCTGGCACCCCTGCCCCGACGATCCCGGCCTCGGGATCTCTCTGCCCCGCCACCTGCCCTCCTTCGCTCCTGGGGATTAGAGGGGCAAGGATCAGTCTGCGCTTGCAGAGCCCCCACTCCACAAATAAGTAAACTGAGGCACAAAGAAACAAAAGGCTCTACATGAGGTGATAGAGGTGGTGCACACTGGGTTAGGTCTTGAATTCTGGGGTCTGGAGCAGGAAAAAGAGAGAAGGGGTGGAGTTGCCAATAATTGTTAACATGTGTCTGGGCCGCTGTATATGAGGTCTCAGAGTGGGGACTGGAGGTGGAGGCCAGGATGGGGAGGGGCTTGCCTGAGGTTGCACAGATGCGGGGTCTGGTGTGGGGGAGCTTGCTCACCTCCTCCTGGGGGTCCACCACTGGCACCCACTTGAAGATACGAAGGGAAGTGTCGCCCACAGTCACCCAGCGTTTCTCCCTGTGGGAGAGTGGGGGGACGAGGTCAGAAAGGCCTGAGTTGAGAGATCCCCTCAGCAGCTAGACACATCTGGGGATACCTGCAGAGGTGTTGGTGGTTCATAGGGAAGGGGCAGTTTTGCTAATGGGGCATAGTTAGAGGGAGAGAGAGAGCTCTGCAGACCCCAGGGCATACATGGGGGCGTCTCTAGTGAGAGAATGGCGTGGGGCCATGGTTCACAAACCCCTGGGGGGGCACACGGCTATGGGCCTGGCTTGAGATCCGGGCATACGTTCTGGAGGAATGTCAAAGCTTTAGGGGATGCGAAGTAAATGGGGGTGGGGGCGGGGGCGGGGGCTCCTGCTCTGGGAGGGCACCTCTGGGGAACTCGCTTTGTAGACCCCAGGGTGTAGCCAGGAGAAGAGAGACAGAGACTTGTAGATCCAGGGCGCAGCTGGGGGGCACACATAACACCTGGGGCCACAGCTGGTGAAAGGAGGGTAGACGCCTTTAGAGGAGTAGTGGCCCCGCCACGTCCCGTCCCTGGCCCCGGCACAGCGCTCACCATCTCCGGACCTTCTCGATGGTCGCCATCACCTTCTTGATGTCATCCTTGGCCCGGCTCCGGGTCTCAGCCCGCACGGTCCGGCCGGCCATGCTGGCGGGGCTGGGGCCGGGGCCGAGACCGAGCCCGCGGCTGGGCCGCCTCCCGTCCGGCGGGCTGAGGCTCGGCGCCAGGCCGGGTCGCCGTTCTCTCGGCCAGACGTCCCTCCGGGAGTTGGCCGCGCCCTCCCTAGCTCCCCAGCGCCTCCGCGAGTCCCCGCCCGGCTTCCTGCCGCCGCGCCCCGCCCCGGCCCGTCCCCGGAGCGGCCCTACTGCGCCGACCGCCAGAACCTAGGCCTGGAAGACGGCCAGCCCCGCCCCTCCCTGGCCCGCCCCCTTGGGGCGCCCAAACGCGCAGCGCCCCCTGCCCGCGGCCCAAAGGGAGGTTGGGGGTAGCTCCGCGACTGGACGCGCGCGGCAGCGCTGGAGGTGCGTTCAAGACCACGTGGGCGCTGGGAGAGCGAGAGAGACTGTGTCCGGGTGTGCGTCCGCTGCGCGCGGGCGTCCCTGAAATGCGCGCACACGTGTGTGTGTGCGCGCGCGTCCACTCTTCGCCAGGTGGGGGGGGTGTGTCCGTGTCCGTATCCGTGTCCGTGTCCGTGTGTGTGTGTGTGTGTGTGTGTGTGTGTGTCCGTCCACTCTCGCCAGGCTGTCTAGGTCTACACGTCTACACTGTCCAACTATTCCTTCAGCCATTCATTGAACAATCTGTTAACTCAATGCCAAGTACGTGCCAGACACTGCATAGGAGTGGGTCTCCACCAGATTGGCTTAAATGAGAATGACAGGCCACACCAAGGGTAAGCGAAGAAGCAGAGCCACTGGACCTCTCCTATTTCTGGGGAAGTGTAAATTGGTAGAGACACTTTGGAAAACGCAGTTTTCTATTGAAGCCCAAAATACACCCCAACCCTACGATCTAGCAATTCCACTCCAACATCATCAACCTGCAACAGAAATGCGTAGGTATGAGCACCAAGTGAGGTGTACTGGGACATTCATAGCACTATTTATAATTACCTCAAACTGGAAACAACCCATCAAAAGAAAGTGGAAAAGGAGCTGTAGCCTATTCACACCTTGGACACAAAAAGGTGAGTGAGGTCCCCCTACACCCAGCAAGGGGGACAAGTCTCATGAAAGAAGTCGGTACAACAGTACACACTGTATGATTCTGTTTATATGAAGTTCCAAACAGACAAAACTAATTTATGGTGTGAGAAATCAGAACAGTGGTCACCCTTGGGACTGGAAGGGGGAGTTCTGGAAGCTGCTTGTGCTGTTTCCTAATCTGGTGCTGGTTCCCTGGACATACTCTAAAAATTCATAGATGTTTGCACTTTTCCCTATGTATACTTTAAGTATACTTCATTGGAGTATACTTCAAAGGAGTTATACTTCAAGTAAAACTTCATTTTAAATGAGCATGTCTTGGTTGATTTGAGTCTGTTTGCCAGCAGATATGACATGTATTAATTTGTGTTGCTGTGTGTGTGTGTGTGTGTGTGTGTGTGTGTGTGTGTTTTGATGTGACTACATCCACAGAGATTACAGGATAGGAAGATGGTTATGATAGCATTTTTGGAGCCAAACTGCTGGGGTAAAGTCCCACCTCTGCTTATCCAGTGACCCTGGGTAAGTCACTTGTCTAATTCCTCAACTATAACATGGGAGTGAATTAATAAGTGTATAGCTCTTTGAAAAGTGCCTTGCACATAGTAAATACCCAATAAATATCCACTGTTAATAAGTATGTGATTGTGGCACCTACCAGCTATCTGGCTTCATGAATTGTACCTGCTCTGTCCTCTGCCAGTAATCCCATTCTTCCTGTAATCTGGCAATATCCTCACAGACACCCAGGCCTCCTTCCCAGTCCCTTCATTCACATCACCTGCTGTTATTTATAGTCTCCCCCATCAGACTGTGAGCTCTTCAAGGAACCAGAGAGCAAGAGTGGATCACCTCTGAGTCCCAGAGCCCGGGACAGAGTAGGCGTCTGTCTGTACTGTGTTAGTGGAGATGATGTTAGTAAAATACCCCTAATCTGCACATGTCTCTGAAGCTTGTTCCTGTGTGAGAATGAAAGTCTGTGTGCAGTAGAAGCAGGTGTGTCAGAGGGTTATACTGGTTCTGGTAAGGTGAGACGAGCTGGTGCATCTGTTCCCATCCTTGTAGGCGTGAGGAGACTGAGAGCAGAAAATACCTAAGACAGGCCAGGAGGTGGATGTCTGTGCAGGTGCAGCCCAAGCCTTAGGGCCCCATCTTGGCCTCTCTTGAACTCCCTCTCCCCCTCCTTCACAGCCAAGAAAGGGTGCCGGCACATTCCTGTCCTGCCAGCTCCACCCTCTCCTATCTCCCCAGTTTTCTCCGAAAAGCAGCCCAGGAGCCAAGCCTTGCCCCCAAGATCGAAGCCAGAGCCGCCTCCTCCTGACGTGATGTAGGGCTGCCTTTCAGGCCTAGACGCCCCCAGCATTGAAGTCCCAAGTCCACCACGCAAACAACCTGCCGCCCCCCCCCCCCCGCCCCCCGCTCAGGCCCCTTTCTCGACTAGGCAGTACAGGTAGTGAACTAAGCTTAGGGACAAGGAATCTTGCCTGGAGCGGAGGAATTTTGGGGGGGGGGGATTGAGCCCTGATTGGCTGCGCCCGGGCCCGCCCCTACCTCTTTTCCCCTTCTCCCCCTCCTTGGAGGGGGGCGTGGAGGCAGCAGGGATCAGCCTGGGGCCAGCATGAGCCGGAGGGAGGGAAGTCTGGGTAAGGGGCTGAAGGGCAGATGCCGAGTACCCAAGGGGAGCAGTGGTCAGAAGGGCTGGAAGCTGGGGTCTAAGCCCCCGCTACCTCCGGGTCCGGGAAAGGAGTGGCCTGAGCGGGGGAGAGCAGGGCCCGGGTGTCAGGTAACAAGCGGTGAGATGTTGGTGAGCAGTGGGAAGGTGCTAGCGCCAGAGTTCAGAAGAGGCCTGGGGCAGTGCCTCAGGTACATAGCCTCGGGGGTTAGATCACCGGTTCGAGTACACCCGGGGGGAGGACTGGGGTCGTGGCTGAGGCTATACGCCTGGACCCTCTTTGAGTTTTGGTAAAGAATCAGAGCTGGGGGCCAGAATGGGGGGTAGAGTTAGGAGAGGAAGCCTTTGGGCCACAGGAGATAGTGAGTAACAACAGGTGTCGAAAGTCAAGGCTGTAGAGGTTAGGAATAGGCGGTGGGAAACTCAGACCGGGTGGAGGTGGTGCGGGGCTGGAGTTGCGGAGCTAGGACTACGTTCCCCAGCATGCCCTGGGCGAGTGCGCGGGGCATCTTGGGGAATGTAGTCCTTCAAGGGCGCCACCCTCCGACATGTGCTAAGCAAGACTGATCGCTCATTCGTTGACGCTGCCTAATGCCCAGCTCCGCGCCTTGTGCAAAAAAACTATCAGAGAGGGAATGGGACTTCAGTTTCCCAATCTGTAAAATGGGCTGAAAGGTGCATTCCGATTTGAAGTTCTGTGCTTTCGTGATATTGAATTCCACGAACAATCACTGAGGTACAGATATATGTGAGACTTACCACCAAAGGGCTTCCAGGCTGAAATCAATTCACAGAGATAAAAGAGCCATTAAAACAACTACCTTAGAAGTATGTACAAAAGGCCTTAAGTAGAAGGAAGAAGTTAATTTAGGGAGGGGTGAATCTGAGACTGCACTGAGGAGGTAGTATTTGAATTTGGCTTTAATAATATTTCAACAGTGAATTGAGGACAGAGAACATATTTCAGGTAGAACAACCATTTGGCAAATGCCTGGCGCCTCATTTTCCCTCAGCTGGAATGGGACAGAGCCTGCCTGGCTTAAAAGTTGGAGAATTCAAAGATGAGCTTCTGGGATCAGGAAGAAAGGGGTCAGGAGTAGGTGTGTGGGTTGCCCTCATCCCTCCCTGCTTTTCCCACCAGAAAACCCCCAGCCTGACTCCTCACCCCTTCCCCTCTTGGAGGCCAAGATCCAACAGACACACAACCTTGCCCGCCTCCTCACCATATATGCTGAGCAGCTGCTCCAGGAATATGTGAGTGTGGATGGGTATGGGGGTGCCAGGGACCTGGGGAACAGGGAAGTACAGATCGCAGAGTTTCCTGACCACCAGTTTTTCTCAACCTCATTTCCCGGCTGCAGAAATTGGGGCTCTGAGAGGAATCAGTAACTTGGCCCTGGCCACACAGCAAATTGGAGGAGAACAATCTTTGTTCCCCAAATGACCCTCTGTCCACCTCTGCTTGAAGGCTTCCTCCTTGGTACTTTAAGAGAGGCAACCTGAGAGCGAAAAGACTTCTGGTCTGAGAGACAAGAAACCTAGGTTCCATGCTCTGTGTGGTTTTGTCACCACACCTCCATTGGCCTTGGTCTCAACTCTTCTACCTGTGCTATGCAGAGAGGCCAAGAATGGGTTTCAATCTGGGACAAAAATTCCATCCCAAGAGGGGACTTAAAAAGGAGGGGGATCTGCCAACATCTTTGATTGGATAGAAGGCCCTGCCCAAGGAAAGAAGTAACTTTCTCAAATTGCTCTGGTGTAGTGGAGGAACGTTATGGCATTGAATCACACAGACTGTGGGTCTGACATAATGCTGTGACTTTGGGCAGGAGTGATAACATTAAAATAAGAATGTAACCACTATGACAGTATGTAGTGGGATAATAGAGCTAGCTTTGTAGTCCTACCAACTTTGGTTCAAATTCCAGCTCTGTCCCTTCCTAGAGGGGTGACCTAGGTCAAGTCGCTGTACCTCTTCAGCCCCAATGTGCTCATCACATTTCAAAATCGTCATCATTATCATCACACCCATTATTAGTAAGATTAGGAGTAGTGTGTTTAAACAAGCAAGCACAATGCCTGAACCAGAGGCAAGATGTTAGCAAAGGATAAATAGCATCGTTCTAGCAGTTTTACAAATTATAAATCACCTTTAGCTTTTGTTTGTTTATTCATATGACAGTTATTCATGGAGCCCCTGCTGTGTGCCAGGCAGGTGCAGAGGTGATCGAAGATGAGAGGAGAGAGTGAAACAGACTAGTTAATGCACTATCTTATGGAGATCTCTGATTGGAAGACAAGACAGTGAGCTGTTCGCACCGCGCCCCCCTCCATTTTACAGAAAACTGATGCTCAGAGAAGGAAAATGGTTTTGTAAGAAACTGAGCAGGTAGTAGGTGGAGATAGTTGATTGCACCCTAGTGTGTAAGATAGCATTAATAAGAGGGCTATCGTTTATTGTGTCCTTCCCATGCGACAGGACCTGCCTTAAGCTTTTTAAGATGCTCATAACTACGTTATGAAGTTGACAGTGTTATCATATCCATTTCAGAGATGAGGAAACAAAGGCACTTTTTTGTTGTTCTGTACTATCTCACATGCAACAGCTCTGTTAGGAAGAATTTGTCCTTTGCGAGATGGGAATACTGAGGTCCTAGGAGAGGGGAGGAGTTCCGGGAGTCCTACTGATGGCCCCATCTCCACAGGTGCAGCACCAGGGAGAACCCTTCGGGCTGCCTGGCTTCTCTCCTCCGCGGATGCCTGTGGTGGGCTTGAGCGCTCCGGCACCCGGCCACTCGGGCTTGCCGGCGTCCGAGCAGCTACAGCTGGACGCCCGGGCGCTGGCCGCGCTGCCACCGCTGCTCGACGTGGTGCGCCGCCTGCAGGCTGAGCTGAACCCGCGCGCGCCGCGCCTGCTGAGGCGCCTGGAGGACGCGGCGCGCCAGGTCCGGGCCCTGAGTGCCGCAGTGGAGGCCGTTATGGCTGCGCTGGGCGCCGAGCCCCGCGAGCCCGGGCCCGAACCCGCCGCTGCCGCTGCCGCTGCCTCAGCCGCTGCCACCGCCGCCGGCGCCTTTTCCGCCAAGGTGCTGGGGCTCCGCGTGTGCAGCCTCTATCATGAGTGGGTGAGCCGCACCGAAGCTGACCTGCGCCAGCTGGTGCCTGGGGGCCCAGCCTAAGAGCGGGCGCGGCCCTCAACTCACTGGCACCTTCCCCTCATCTTTCTTCATGTCTCCATCTCTGGCAGTGTCTCCATCTCTCTGTCCCTGTTGTCTCTATTTGCGTTGTATGCTTTCGATCTATTTTCTCTCTAGGGACCCTCTTGTCTCCATATGTGACTTTCCATGTCCATTATATTCTTGCTTTCTCCTCCTTTCTCCATCGCTTGGGTCCGCCTAAGTGTCTCTTGGTCTCCCCTTTACCCTTGGTTTCTGGGGGTCACTTTGTCTCCCTTTTTCCTCTCTTATCCCCTTTTGGCCCCATATAAGCACATGCACAGCTCAGCCTCATCTCAAGAAAGGGACACCTTGTCACTGTTTCCCTCTGTCCCTCTCCCTCTCCCTGGAGTCATTTCACCTGCTGCCCGCTCCCTTCCTCATCCCATTCCTGCCCCCTCTCCGTTTCCTGTCCTTCCCTTCCTTCACTCCCGTCTGCCCTATCCTTGCATCTCCTCTTCCCCCCAGCCAGGTCTGTGAAGAGAAATGATTGACACCTTAGAAGAGTTTCATTTCTTAGAATAAATCAATTTTTTCTGTAAATAAAATGTTAAAAAAAATAATAAAAAGAACACAAAATTACCAGTATATATACTTGTTGAAAGTGGGGAGACACCTTTGAGGAGAATAGGATCCTTGGGGTATAGCCTGGTCCCCTGAGACATACCCAAAAGCCACAGTATAAATAGGAGATTCCTGAGAGACCTTGACCAGGGATGCCATCTGTCAGCCCAGAACAGGAAGCGGATGTGTCCTGAGCAGGAAACAGTTGTGGCATGAATCTTAGTTTTTTAAGAATTGAACTTCCATTGGTCAGGAAGTGAAGCCCCTTAATATGGTAAGTTGTAAGAGTGGCACCATCAGAAAAGGAGACGTGGAGGAAAAGAACTCCAGCAAGAAGAGAGGCCTACCTGCTCTACAAAGTCCGTATCTTCAGACAGGAAGTGAGGTAGTCAGGAGACATGAAAGTAGCCCCTGGCCTGGAAGGGGAAGGTCTTGAGGAGAGCCCAGGAAGGAGACCAACTGTCTGTTCCCCTTAGAGTGGGAAGTGAAGCCTCTTCAAAGAGGCATTTCTCTCCACGCAGGAAGTGGGCAACCAGTACCACTGGATTGGTAACTCATGAAATGATATCCATAGAAACCCACCCAGATCTGGAAGGGAGGCCTTAGGACCTAGGCAGGAAGGCCCTGGCAATACGGAATTGACGCCTGTTTCCCAGGAAATGTTCCCCAAACATGGCACACAAACTCTGCTAGACAAGATGTGTTTCCTTTCTCGTGAAGAAGCAAGGCAGAAAAGAGTCCATTGTGACAGGAGAAGTATTGCAGCCTCTGACAGGAAGTCCTACCTCCTCTATCCAGGGTATTTGGCTTTGAGCAGAGCCAAGTCCCTCACAGCTCGGTCTGTCCAGTAGCCATATTCCCGGGTCACTACATAGCCTCGACATTTCCTCTCGAAGGCTGAGGCCCCAAAGGGGACAAACCCAAGAGTGTCCTCTTCAGGGGTGATGGGCAGGCCCAGTGCAGTCATGATGGCAGCCATGTTGCCCAGCAGGCTTTGGGCCCTTAGTCTCGCAGCCCTGAGCTGATCTAGCAGGACAGGACTGCCAGGGTTCAGGCTGTTCTTGTCATCCCTGATGAGCTGGAGGTGCTGGGTCAAAGCCAGGAAGGCCCCCTGGGCGTGGCCTAGCCACTCCCCATCATCCAACTCATGCCAGGTCTTGAAGGAAACGGTGGCAGGTGGCAGGCTGCTCAGCTGGAGCTCAGGGGCTGAGAACCCAGGGTCACTAAAAGGGCTGCCCTAGTACCGGAGCTGCATGAGGGACAGAGACAGGAGTGAGGGGACCAAACAGGTACGCTGAGACTCCCCGTGATTTCACATCTGCCTTCTATGAGACCAGCATCTTCCCAGGGGGTGTTGCCATCCTCTACCCTTCAGAGAGTTGGTGGGATGCCCTAGCACAGAGCTTGGGCTCTGATGGATTCCAATTTAGCTTCCTCAATGTACAATTTGTACAACGCTGAATCACGGCTTCAATAATTCCTATGTGGCAGTATTATCATGAAATGATAAGAAGTAATATATATAAAGCTCTTAGCACAGCACCTGACATACAATAAGAGCATGATAAACCACCATTAATAGGTAATATACTTATATTAATATCATGAGCACAGATTATAATAATTATTTATTATAATATTTTCAATCTAAAGATTTTATTGACAATATAGGCATGGCCCTGTATATTTCTTTTTTTTATTTACAGCATTTGGTTGTTGATGTTTGTTAATTTTACTATAATCATTGATAAATAATTGTTAATATTATTAAATTTAGTTGAGTGCCTTCTTCATTAAAGGTCTTCTCTCCATAGACCCAGACCCACAGAATCTTATTGCACACTGATAAGTTCCCTCACTGATAAGTCACCTAGTCTTACATCCCCATTTTACCGGTGGAGAAACAGGCTCAAGGTGCCCAAAACTACCCAGGGAATGGTGGCAGGTATGGGACTAGAAACTAGATTTAGTAACTTCACATGGGCCTGGAACATAGGACAGTGAAAGAGTCGCAAACGCTAGAGGTCCAGGGGCCAGGCAGATCATGTAACTTGGGGAGGAAAGGAAGACTAAGATGGACAGGAGGTGGGGGAGCAGGAGCTTTGATCAACAGGATTCCTGTGCCTGTTTGAGACAGGCATTCATATTCAAAATTGAACAAACACTGCATGTCTCAAACAGAAAACATCTGTTGGTCAGGCCCAGCCAACAGGCTGCCAGTTTGAACTTCTAGACAGTTGGGGGATGTGGGGAGAATTGGCGGGAATTGGCATCAAATGTCACAGACCTGGTTTAAGATCCTGGCACAGTCAGTTATTAGCTGCGTGACCTCCAACAAACTATTATCTCTCTCTCTCAGACTCAGTTTTCTTATATAAAGTGGATTATAACTCCGTGTCTCAGAACTTTCTTAGGAGTCAGTAGGATAATGGGAGAGAGTATCCAGAATGGCAGAAGGATCTAGTGCTTGTGGAAATAATCGTGACCCGGTAAAGCCCTCCCCTCTACTTGCTTCCTTTGAATCTTCTAACAGTCCTGAGAGGTCAGCAAAGAGGGGGTCACCACCCCATTTTGCAAGTGAGGAAGCTGACACTGAGAAAGAATGACTTACCCAGGGTCATCAGCCATCAGTGACAGTGTTCGTGTGTGTGTGTCTCCAGTTGACAGACCCCCTGTACCCCCGGACACATGGAGGAAACTTCTCCTTGTCTTTCTCTGCTTCCTCACCCAGCGCTGGACAAGGAAGACAGTGTTCCTCTCCCCTCATTCCCTCTCATGCCCAGTATCACTCACAGAAGTCCACAGCAGCATTGATGTATTCTTCTGCATATAGAGGGCCAGGCTATAGGCTTGACTGATGGGCTCAGCTGGAGAGGTAGGGGCCCCCGGACTGAGGGCTGGCAGCAGCAGGATCAGCAGGCCGAGTGGGGCTGGCAGAAGAAATCAGAGGTCAGAACCAAGCCCCTGACGCTGCCTACTGATTTATTTATTCCTCAGAATAACTCAAATGGGTACAGCTCTTGTGGCCTACAACAATCTTGTATCTCCAAATCAGGGCAGAATCACCCTGAAAGTAGATTATTTCCAGTTCAGAGCATTCCCTTCACCTCCAAACCCATGTATTCAATTTCCTTCTTGACATTTTCCCTTAAGTATTAATAAGCATCTCAAACTCAAAATATCTTCTACTCTGCTCTAGATTCCCCTCCCGCAGTCTTCCCCCATCTCTGCTAAGAGCACTTCTGTTCTTCCACTTGCTCGGGTCAAAGCCATGGAGTACTCTTTGAGGCCTGCCTCCCTCTCCACATTCAGCCCCACAGTAAATCCTATTGGCTCTGTCCTTAAAAGGTAGCTGGCTACTCCCCTACTCCCAGGTGCCTGCACCTCTCACCAGACCATCACAGTGGCCTCCCCGCTGGTCTCTGCTTCCACTCTTGCCTCTGCCCTCCCCACTGTAACCCCTCAAGTCCAACTAGATCTCTCCCCTGCCTGAACCCTCCCCTGGCTCCCACCTTACACAGAGTGAAAGCCAAAGTCCTCAGTGTGGCCCAAAAGTCCTAGCTCCTCTTCGCTGGCCTCCTTTCTGTTCTGCAGCATCCCCCCTTAGGACTGCCAGGACCAACCACAAATCTCCCCAAGGCTGCCTCCTTCTTGTACTTCAGGCTTCAACTCATACATCAAAAGCCTCTCCCTTTGCTAGATTTATAGTCTTCACAGACTTATGCTATTTGCAACTACCTCATTTATTTATTTGTCTACATGCTGTTGCTGTCTCTGCCCCTAGAATGCTGGCTCCAAGAAAGAGGAAACCACACCTAGTTCCTCAGCACCAAGCACAGAGCTTAATATTTGTCAAGTGAATGAAGGGCTGCCATGAACAGCCTTATCCCAGCCTCTTTGGGCACTGTTAAGAGTGGAAATATCTGGATTGGAGGGTATGCTTATTTTCAATTTGAGTAAAGGCTGCTGAATTGTCCTCTCAAAGGTGAAACCCAGTTTATGTTCCTACTAATGGTGCAAGGCTCAGAGGCAGGAGAGGTACCAAAGGTTGCTGGCAGAAAGAAATGGAGATGAGAGGCAAAGTAGGTTGGCCTCCTTTATTGTCCTTTCTAGATTCCTGAGTTCTCAGAAGTTCAGAACTTAAGGGAAGGCTGAAAGCGAAGGCTCATTCATTCATCCACTCATCCATTCATCCACTCATTCATTCAACAAACTTGGATCATTGCATTCACCTTCTATCACACAGTCTAATTTACTCATTTGTTACGCGTACGACTATTGTCTGTGTGCAGAACGAAATCTCTATGAGACCGTAGATTTTTATCTGTTTGTTCACTGCTCTATCACCAAATGCTTAGATTATTTCCTAGCACAAAATAAGCACTCAAAAACTATTCCTTGAATGAATGATGAATGAAGCCTTCTGTGTGTAAGAATTTGGTGCTTCCCAGCAGATGCAAAGACAGCCAGGCACAGTTGGCGCAGAGGCCTAGGCATTGTCCCCTCTCCTCCTGGCCTCTGGGGCTCTGGGGCCCCATCCCCCTCACTCACCCGGTGGACAGCTCATGCTCTCTCCTTGGCTCCTTCCTGTCTGTATTCTCTGGGTCATTCTGGGCACCTGTCCTGTCCCCCAGATGGCTTAGTCCCCAAACTCAACCTTAAACCCTGGTTTGTGGGAGGGAGGGGGCAAGGGCAGAGAGGGATTATGGGGGACAAAGGGGATTCCCTGCTCCCTGCACGTCCCGGGATCCAGTTTCCAATGAGGAGGCAGCCCCCTGCTCCACCCCACAGGGACCCAGGCGTTGGGCCCTGGCTTCAGAGGAGTTTGGAAAAACGACATGAGAGGTGGCCTGTGAGCAATATCACCCACACCCAGGTGCACCATTAGACATGCGCACATCTACACATACGTTGGTATGTGGGCACACACCAGACATGTGCACACACTTTCATCCATTCATTCATTCAAGTGTGTGTTGACAACTACTGTGTGCTGGTCCC